TCGTGATGTCTCTCTCTGCAAAATCTGCTAACACCCTCAGTAATTATCTATAAACTGAAAAATTAAGCAGAAAACTGAAAAATTTGGAGTATATATAGAATCTTCCAGCTGTCTCAAAGAAACACACAGATAGCAAACCTATTAGGAATGCTCAATAAGAAAATATTTCTCACTTTTACAAATTGAAATTAAATGATTAAATGAGGAGTAAATGTTCTTATTAAGAATGTACAAAGAAGCAAGGAAAGGAAATTGTATAATACAAACCATTTGGTTCTTTCATTTTCCAGTGTCTATTTGACTAAATGTTTGCATATTGTCTGCTGGCATAAAAAACAGTAAAGATATAAATACCACAGTATTGGCATTTAACAGAAGAGCTGTGGGAAATAAATAGTAATCTTAGAGCTTGTTACACTTTTACAGGCATGTAAAGTTAGAGAACATGGCAGTGACTATGAATTAATTGCCCCTAACAAGGACGAGACACATAAAATCTGCTCTGGTGTGGAACATCCACATTCTGTGGTCCAGCTGAGTCCTCAACACCTACAGGTATTAATACAGTTGCATGTTATTCAATAAAACAGGAAAACAGTTTTATCTTTGCTCAGTCCAGTGTCACATTTGTCAAAGGGCACCCCTGCATGAGGTCTTACCTGCACAAGACTTTTCAGCTCTATTAAATGTGAAGACATCCTCACAAGTTTAACAACTAATTAACTTCTCACCTTTAGTGAAAACCTTTGTCCATTTCCTTTCAGTAATTTTAGGATTTGTTAGGGTTTGGGTTAGCTCTTCGGCCTCCAAGCAAAAAACTCTTCCAGTTTTCTGTAGCTTTTACCATGTTTGACACTGTCCTGTTCTCATGAGCTGTTTGCCAGTGCCTCCAGCCTTGCTCCAGGAATTCCTTTGCACTGGTGGCACGGTGGCAGAGCAGCCACACAGTGGTTCCACCATCCTTGCAGGATGTTAAACACTCAGCGTGCCAGATTAGTAATTTTATGTTGCATTTCACATAAATATTCTGCCTGTGGAAATGGAGGGAGTGCTCCATCCATGGACACACTGAGATTACACAGATTGCCTGAATCACCCAACAGCCTGGGAGAGGCAAAGGCTGCAATTTCAGACACAGGGATAATTTCAGATCTTGCCGAGGGAAACAACGTGAAATCTATTTGCCAAAATGAGTAATGGAGCTCTAAATACTGATTACAGTTCACAAATCTACCCTAGATTGTATGATTATACTTGAAATTGTGCTCTATGTTCGATTCGCAGCAGTATTTTTATCCAAATAATTTATTACTAAACATAAAGGTAAAATACACACCAGTAAAACTATATGTAGAGTAAACATTTGACATTTTTCTAAGGTGTTTTTTTTTACTGCACTTTTACTGCAGCAGTTACAGCTGTGTTTATGTGTGTGCTTGTTTTTCAGGAAAGTATTCAAGGAACAAGAAAGTGTTTGGTTTGTTTAACATAAGTGAGCATTTCATAAGTAGAAGTAGATGAGAATGTGGTAGCCACTGTTAAATTCATTGTGCATTACTTCAAAGTGTTGATATATGCTCAGGAAGGGACGTGGGGAACTACCTTTATTTAAGAAACTGGACTTCAGAACATATCACAACTCTGTCTCATCTGCACTCCTGTAGCAGCAGAACAGAACTTCCCAAATTCCTTATTCAAACTGAGAAAACGTCTACACTGGATTGAAAAGCATCTACTGGCAGAAAATCTTGTGTTTCACTAAAATACATTGTCCTGAGTGCATGTTTTGGCAAACTAGAGTAAGAAAAGCTGCTTTTTAACAGGGGCAGAAAAGCTTCCAGCTCATGACACACATACCCTGAGCTTACATATCACAGACACAAAGAGAAACCAGCCAGGGTCTCTTCTAAAATCACAGAGCTGAGTTCGTGCATTCAGCAACTCTTTGCAAATTGTCAGACTATAACTGGGAAGCCTTTCTTTGCCATGAAAAATAGTGCACTTTCCTCAGAAAATGCTACTTTTTACTGTTGCTCATTAGACTTATGTGTTGGAGTAGTAATTTCAAAAGCTTGCTCCCCCAGTGAAAAAATAGCTCCACCTGCTAACATTTGAGTGCCACTAGTATGGAAATACATTAAATTGAGCATCATTCTATTCTTTAGTCTTTTTATAAACTCAACAGTTTCTTAGAGTTTGTATAGCTGCTACCGTCATTTTTTTAAGATAAACTACATTAAATTTAGATTTTAGTACCAGTTAGTACTCATACTGAATCAGCACATTACTACTGTCATCACAAGTAGTAAGAGTAGTTGTAAGATGTATTTGTTAAAACTGTCAGTCTAAAACAGAGTTTCATATTTAGTTTATATTTAGTCTAATTCTTCGAGCTCTTTCATCAAAAAAAAGGGCATAGAAAGACTAAAGGGTATTAAACAAGTGATTCTGCCACTGAATCTCCATTTTTCTCTAGACACATCCTGAGCCCAAATTTCGTGTTAGACATGAATTAGATGAACAATTAGATGTTAAATTCCTGTTCTTGGACATAATTCAAACCAAAGGTATGAGTCTTGAAAACTCCCCTGTGCATTAATTGCAAATATCCATTAAAAATTATTATGAAGATGTTATAAGTGCTTTAACACCTTGGAGCTGCACCCTCTGAGAGACAGAAGAATTTATATCAATTAAGAAACCTGACTGAAGTACTAAAAATACTGATCACTAAAAATAGTGATCTGTTCTATGAGAATGGAATATTAAATATTTCAAGCATCACCTCATTGACCTCCTAAAATTTGCCAGTATAAACACTTCCCCTTAAGTTCTTCACAGACTGATCATTTAGTACCACCATTCTTTAATCTGTTTTAGTAACAATTACTTCAAAGCCCCAAAGGAGTTGTGGTACAGTCTAGCAGAAAGGATTATTATTCTACATGTGAGGGAGTCCAGTAATATCAACATGAAATTATGTCTTTGCAACAGAGGATTATTCACTGATAACAGTATGCTCAGCATAAGACCAGACAACTAAAATACTGTGTCCACTTTCAGTATTGTAGTAAAAAAGTTTCTAATGATAACTGGCAGCTTCTCAGCAGCACATTAAAAATACAACTGAAAGTAAATCGAGTACATGAGAGAATTAAAGGGGAAGGTTGAAATGTAGACCTTTGACAAAGAAAATAGAGGGTCAATTTTAAATTACTGTGGAATTGTTGGCAAATACGTATCAGTTATTGCAAATTAAACAATCAAATTCCCCAAATGCAAAAATTTTAAATGGTAGAGACACATGCTGTACATGCTTGGAGCAAACTTATTTTTGAAGTCAGGAGCATCCTATAATCAAGTCATCTGACTTCTAATTTAAAAAACAAAGAAACAAACAAACAACAACAAATAAAAACCCACCCCTGAGTATATACATGAACCAAACCATCATCCCTGAACATTCTAAATTTAAAATCCCATTTGAAAAAGATATTCAAGGTAAAAGTTAAAATAAGTATGGAGAATCAAATAAAATAGCCATTCTTACCTTAACAACAGTGCAAAGTTTTTTGAGGCTTATATAAGGAATTGGTAACTTCAAAAGCTGTTTTTGAAGTAATCAGCTTTAATATAATTGCATTTTCAGTCATTTGATGGGTGTAAAACAGATCAGAGATTAAGATGCAACTGGCTTGGCACAGCCATAACCTCCAGATTCTCACATTCAGCCACACACCAACCCCATCCTCCAGGGTCACTCTGGGAATAAGCCAGAACACTGCAATATTTTCAGACTATAGACTGTTCATGTACAAACACAACTACCAGCCATTTTAAGAAATTAATATAAGCACAGGGAAATCTAATTTTTCACACTTTGGCTGAATGTTTTCAGTATGGCATTTATGAATAACGTGTTCCACACAAGTCCATGTTGAGCTCAGGCTGACTTGTGATCTGCTACAGTGCTCATGGAAGCACATGGCTGCCAACAATTAATTCTGCTGGAAAAGGAGTATTTTTTTAAAAGAGCTTCCTGCATACCTATTAAAGCAAATAGGACATCCTAATTATGAATATATTGCCCCTATAAACCTCAGTCTAACCCACCATCCACTGCTCCTCGTGCAATGAACGTGTGGCAGTATTTCTGTGAAGCACACAGTGTGAGTCTAATGCTGCAACAGTGCAAATGTTTATTCAGTTACTAAATGTACTGTGGAGTAACTTGAGGAATCTTCTTCAATGTACACATCTGCTCAGCTGGCAGTAGTCTAAACATTTCAGAAGCCAAGAACTTTTGATTACCAAGAGTCTCCTTGCGTATGCTCTGACACTGAATCGCAGAGGACATTTTTGTCTGCATTACGTTTACCAGGATTTTAAGAGAGAGAACACATCCAGGGTACCAGACATTTTCTGGCACCATGACAGAACTCAAAGGTCTAAAGAAAGAAAGAGTTACATTTACTTTTTCCCACAGTCACCGAAAGTTTTAGCTTTCTATCTCTCTCTTGGTTTTACCACTGGATCAATAGTTAAATTTAGTCCTCCATCTAAATCATCTGAGGCTTTTAGCTTCAAATCACAAGCTCAAAATTGAGACCAAGACAGGCTCTTGCACCCCCAGCAATCTCAATTTTACATGGGATTAATTAATTCTCTCTCACCTGTGCCCATTCAAATCCATGCTTTAGGGACATTCACACTCCCTCCTTAGCCTACACTACACAACTACCTTTATCTGTTTGTCTACCAGCAACTTCCAATACCCTGCGCTGGAATCCTGTGCCTTCTGACATGAGTTAACACTTCTCACCCATAAATGCTTGAGATGAATTTGAAAATGATTACTTCAAGTACAGTTTTAATCTGCTTTCTGATGCGAGCAACGAAGTGCTCCATCACCACAGATAAATTAGCACTGTCAAGTGTAAGTTCCAGCCAAATAAGCCCATTCTCATTCCTCTGCAAGGGCAGGGTGCCAGCTCACCTACCTCAGTTGCTGCTGAGCCAGACCTCCCTCATGTTTTCTCCACACCATTTCTTCAGATACTCACGTGTTCAGGCCCACACTCCTTTCCTCAACACCACCGACAAAATTCCCTCACTTTCTCAATTCAATTCCTCACTTCCTTCAACCCCTACTTCCAGCACTTCTATATATTATTGCTTGTTGGTTCCTACACCCTCCTCAGCGTCTCCCCCTCAGCTCTGTCCCCTCAGAGCCTGCGGTGGCCCAAGCAGGGACAGCCCACGCTGGGCACTGCCCGCCACAGCAAAGCCCCTGAGCGGCTGCTGAAGAAAATGTTCCACAGCGCGACTTGACCGCAAGGTAATGTTTTTTAAAGGCTGCTTTACGCCATCGGGAGGCATGAGCAAGAACGCTGAGGGCGGTGAAGCCCCCGGCCCCTCACGGCTCGCAGGGACGGGAGGAGGGGACGGGCGGCGCCGCCACCGCCCGGTCCTGAGGGGAGCGGGGCGGGGCAGCACCGGAGGGCGAGAGGCGCCGGGACAAAGCCCTCAGGGAGACGGTGGGATTCCTGGGGCGTCCTGGAGTTCTGTTCGATGGTCCTTGTGGGTCCAGCTCAGGATATTCTGCGATTCAATGACCTCTGGAGTCAGTAACAGCACACAAACCGCCAGGGAGCAGGAACCCAGGAATCCCCGGAGCCATCACAACTAGCGATGACAGCTCTGCTTTTCAGAAACAAATTCTAGGCACATATTTTAAACACACATTATGAAACAAATGTGGATCTAATTTAAGAAGCTACATTCTTTCCCTTCTAGAATTAATGATTTCACTTCAAGCACAGGGAAGAGAACCAAACCCCACAGAATAAGGAAGTTTGATGTGGTATCAGTGGGGCCAGTCCCTGCTTAGGACACCACCTCTGACACACTGACACTTGTCAACCCAAACTTAGTATTAAAAACAGCATAGCCCCGCAGCCAGCACATTTTAGTAGCTTACCCAGGTGCTCACTGGTAAAAATCAAGCACACGTAAGGACTAGGAAAGGGAAAAGCACTATTTTCTTCAGAGGATTTAATTACAGATAGAGATAAGTAACATCCAGCTCTGCAAAATGACAATTGAGGAGGGGAGGAGAGTAGAAGTAGTGGGTATATCTACTAACTTTTGTAGTTTACAGAAGTATGTACACTGTCTGATTTGAAGAAACAAGTTTTTAAGGGATTGTAATACAATTAAGACTTGTATTTTCCCTGCAGGTATCTAAGTGCTGCTTTTCAAGAATGAAGAAGATCCTAACAACCTTGGGGTGAAGACTCCACGTGGATTCTCTGTGACAACGTGGGCCTCTATCTCTTGAGCAGAGACTCCCTTGCCTCTTAACCTGTACTTCTGACAATCCCTTTAAATGTTTTTGTATCCTTTTGTCATCATGGCTCTAAGCTCCATTCCAAATCACGTGATGCCAGTTCTTTTGGATATGTAGTTAATAACACCCTCCAACATTTGCACAGAACACCATATAAATGACCTGAATCATCCCCATGAGGACTTTATACAACTTCTATTAAGTGTTGAATATATTATGAGAGCTAAATTTGCAATTGGTTTGGATACTCAAGATGAAAGTGATTTAAGTATTTAGTCCTAAGGTCATGAGTCTTGGGGAAGAAAAGTCTCTGGATCCTTGAGAGCACAAGAGTTCAGTTACTAATTTTCCCTTGCATCACTAATAAAGTCTTCTTTCCCACATTTTAGTGTGAGAATGTGATGATACGGCTGCTATTAAAAAACCAAATTAATTATACTACTTCTGGGAGTATTCCAAGGTTAGAAATATAACATCTCACATTTAACATCTTTAAATTATTTTTCCCTTTGCAATGCAAGTTCACAGTAATTTAAAACCCCATGAATTTTGGCATAGCTTTAAACAGGTTACTGCATTGTTTAAATGACAGTGGCTCCCACTCTAATGTAAATATAATCTCATGAAGCCTTCTTGATATTCCACTCTCCACAGCAATGGGTTTGATTGTTTGATAATTTGTAGATCACTCTTCTTTTGTTTTCATGTCTTCAAGGGAAACACACAGCAATTTAAGACTTGTGACATTAAGCTTGCTTTTCTTGGTTACATTTCACAAATATCTTGAAAGTAGTCCATGGATCAAGAGGGTCTGCTAATCACAGGCTGTCAAAAAACTGTTATATTCTGAAGAAGAAAAAAAAAAAGATTTCACTAAAAACATTTCAGAAGCTAATAAATAAAAACAAACGAGTTCCTAAGAAAATGTCTTTAATTTTCATTTTATGGAAATACATACTTTGTTTTAATTTCCATGATACAAAAGAGTTAAATATCAAACATTTTCTGAAATCTATCAATGCAGGTCCTTTTTTAAACAAATAAAGGGCTGGTGCAGTTAGCAGGTTTATCACAAAAAACATTTTTACAAAAGCCCCACAAGCTGGGGAAGAAGAAGGAGGGAAGAAACAAACCAGAATTTAAAGGTGAGAACAGCAACAGATGTGAAAACAAAGAAAAATTACCTCCCACCAGGAAATTAATGTTTGAGAAACTTTTAAGTTACAGTTTTTTGAAAGGGTAAGGTATGTGTAAAGCTGCCATTTAGATGAATACCATCTGCACAGGGGGTGGGGGTAGAGAACAGAAATTCAAAAGATATTTCCAGATAAAGTAAGTGGTAGAAAGCAATATGTGAAACTGCAGTTCTACCTGTTTCCAGAATGCTGACAGCAAACTGATACTGCCTGGAAAAACAGCTAAATATGAGGAGACTCGTGGTAACTCCCCCCAAGCACAGGAGACAGCCCAGCATGAAATCATGGAGTGCCAGTTGGTTTTGGACAGTTCAGAGCCAGCATGCCAAAGGAGGTGACCAAAATACATTTAGTCTTGCTTCTTAAATCTACCATTGGTTACGACAGCAAGGAGTTCACATGATCAACAACGAGTCATATACTGGTTAATATACACACAAGCAAAACTGACAGTGATTGTTCAAGAAACAGTTTAAAATAATTAAACTGATTTTCGGGACACAGACTGCTTTGTTAACACCACTTTATTTAAATAAAGTATGGCTTCCAAGAGGTGTATTCTCTCAACTGCTTTCAATCAATTCCACTTGTTAAGGCAGTTGTTTCCTACCATGTTTCAGGGACTTCAAAAATTCCAGTGGAACTAGTGGTGAGGCTTCCTAAAAGACAGTCATGGGACAAAAATTAAATCAAGAATATTTTTGTTCTTTCAGAGCACATTAAGACATATTTTCTCCAGTAGAGTGAGGTTCTAGATACATTACTGGCAAGTCAATATTGACAAAGAGAAACCAAGAGAGTGTTTATGAACAGACACTTTAAAAAAAAAGGGAGTTGGGGGGAATGAAGGTTAATATTGGGTTTCTTATCCAAACAGTAAATACTGCATTTTTAATCCAAGTAATTAAGTAATTTTGGTTTTGCAATAACTGGGATGATAAAGTTAAATAATACTATTTTCTCATGTGTACTTGTAGTTATTTTTGTTCAAGGCAGTTAAGACAGTGAAGAATATTTCCAGCCCAAATTAACTGGAGAATAAAGACGAATCACACTAATACTGATAATGCATATTTCCATAATGCCAAATCCAGAGCCTGAATTTTATACTTGGAATTACAGTAGACACTCTTGTCATTTTGCATATGCTTACATGGCCCAACTGCCCTCCTGAATTGGAAGAAGAAAGCAATTTCCAAGCACAGCTTTTGAATCAGCTACGAAAGATTTTACTCTGCCAAATCAGGAGAAAGGATGCTTGGTATCCAATACCACTTTCTGGATAAAAGTTGCTAATGCAGATATATAAATGAAGTTTTATCTATGAATATTTGAATATATTTCAATACAGGGAGTGCTCTAGATGACTAATAACACTGAGTAATCTTGAATAGAAAGTCACATTAAAAAATATTAAGAATAGCTAAAAAAATACTCAAAGAGTTTCATCTTAAGAAAGAAAGTAAGCAAGTAATAAATCAACAACATTCTGCTTCATTTGGTTGGTCTTGGGTGGGGTTATGGTTGTTTGTGGGTTCTCTGGTTTTGTTTTGGTTTTGTTGTTTGTTTTTCCCAATTTTTGCATAATGCAAAATTCATCACTTTGTAATGGAGTAACTCACTGTTACAAGCAAAGACATTCAAGAGAACAACTTTGGTTCTGTTCAGGCCCAGGGCACTTTCAAACAGAACAAAACCGTGTACCAACACTGCACTTACCTGCTGGAACTTGATCTGTCTTGATCTTTTTCAATTTTTTGGCTCTCTTCTTACCATCTGGAAGGGCCTCTGCACAGGAGTCTGTCTGATCACATTCTGGACCTTGGTCCTCTCCCTCTTCCATGTCATCAGAACCAGTTTCTTCCTCAATAGGACTCATGCTTCTCTTGCCCACTGTGCTGGTACCTGTAAAACTGGCACACAGAGGAGAGATGATTATGAGTGAGTCAAGGATTACTATTACACAGGTAGTAGTTGGTGCACATCTATTAAATGCTTATGAAGGTAGCAGAATAAACTGTATTAAGTGGTGTACCATGAAGTGACATTATCTAGTAGACTTGCCTTAACTATAAAATTCCATAAATTGGCTATCTAATCCAATCTTATGGAGATCAAGGTATTCATTCTTTGTACTATAGATGCCTAAGGCTTGGCTGCTGTTCTGATGAGATCACTCAACTGAAATGTAATTAAAGCTGTTCTCTATCCCTGCTTAGTTTTAACTTTTATTCTCGTGGTTAAAGCACTGTCAATAGACACCCAGTTACACACAACTGAGCCTCAAACACACATCTCCATACTGAAGGATTCCACATGTTCACTTCATCCTCTCTCCTGGAACTACAGAGGGTTTTAAAAGCATTTCTATTATATAAAGGCAGAGAAAACCATCAAGCTCCATATAATAAACTTTAAATCTGACTTTAAAGTGAAAAGTCCTATTATCCACGGGGCTGGTAAAATAAAAAGCACAAAAACTCACACACTCATTTCATTAGTAGTATCTACTAAAGCCTGACTAACAGGGTATGAAGATGAACTCAGAGCTCCACTTCATTCAGCACACACTGAAATAACACTGTGTAGGCTTGTGTTCCACTGCAATGCTATTGTTAAGATCCCTTCAAAGACAAATGACAATATTAAAATCAAATTAGCATGAGTACAAGAAAGAATGCAGTAGCAAAGGGGCTAAATTAAAAAAA